CCATCTTCTGTGAATGTCCCAACCACTCCAACAATCTCTCCTCAGCTCTCTGAATCATACCTATGGTAACCACATACCTTCTGATCATCAAGATACAAATTCTCTACATAATATTCACACCACACACTGCTTTCAACCCCAATATCATCACTGCCTCCAATTTCCTCATCGCTGCAATGTTTAACCCTTTCACTGTCGAGACCCCTGCTCACAAACTTGCTCTCAGTGTTAAAGAATTAAAACAAAAAAAAATTTTCTAATGAAATGATAATCTTCCTGATAATAATGACACCACAAATATGAAATCTGATGAAAAACTTATAGAATTACACTCTCACGAAGTTAGCGGTCTTGGCAATATTTAAGCATCGGTGATTTTGCTCACTTCGAGCCCTATTTTGGCCAATTCCATTGTTCCAGTCGACCAAACTCGGCTATTTCGCTAGAACTCCTTTTGTTCTATCGACTGGGTACAAGAAACCTCCCATTTACTGATTTCAACTACCCAATAGTGATCAGAAATTGGTAATTTGGCCAATTTCATACACAAATCAAGGAAGGCCAATTTCAAAATCATGTTCAGAATTAACAATGCAAACATTCCTAGCACTTAAAAAATATTTTCCCTCTTCAGTAGTCATGTCTCCAGGAACCTTTTATATTACGCTTGCTTCCATTTTGAATTTTCATTCACACAAAACATGGAAAATTTATTGTTATGCAGACTACTGAATTATTGTAAAAATGGTATAAATAATATCAGTGCATTTGTGAAAGCATATTAGACCCACCAGTTGACGGGTATTGGATGCATGATGTGATTTGTTTACTCTTCAACATTAGCAAAAATCGAACATTTCAGCTACTTTGAGCTCAATTTCGAGGTACAGTGGAACCTCTGTTTTCGTATGCCCTAGTTGGAGACAATTCTTGGAGAAAATTCTCTATAAAATGTATTTTTTTTTTTTTCATACTTTTGGGTATCTGGAACAGAACCAATTAATCCATTCCAGACACCCAAAAATATTAACAAAAAATAAATTTTTATAGAGAATTTTCTCCAAGAATTGTCTCCAATTAGGGCATACAAAAACTATGGTTCCACTGTACTTCTGTAAACCATTCAAAATTATATCTAGTCTTGTAATATATCTTCCATTCTAACAAATGAGACCAAGAAAATGAGAATACAACCATAACACCTACGAAAATATACTCCAAAGTCACTGCTTTAAACGAAAAAACACGGAGTTGTTTTTTCTCATCATGCACTACATGCTGCCAGATTTTTTTTGTACTGCACACACTGACCATTCAGACCCATTATCTCATATGTAGGCCTACCAGCTTTCTCCTGCAAGATTTGAAGCCGCTAAAATTTTGGTGTACTATTACAGGACCGACGCTGGCTTGCAAGCTGTAATATTACGAGACCAACAGTGAAAGGGTTAAACTCGTGCTTCATGCCCATATAACAGTGCCACTATAATCATGCCTATTAATAACGAAAAAAGGCACAATACCGTGACTGGAATGATACACAAATAACCCGCACATAGAAGAGAGGAGCTTACGACGATGTTTTGGTCCGACTTGGACCACTTACAAAGTCACACTAATGAAAAGGAGAGCAGGAGGGGGTGGTGGTAGTAGTAGTAATAGTAGCAGTAATAGTAGTACTAATAGTAATAGTAGTAATAGTAGTAGTAATAGTAATAGTAGTAATAGTAGTAATAGTAATAGTAGTAATAGTAATAGTAGTAATAGTAATACTAGTAGTAATAGTAATAGTAGTAATAGTAATACTAGTAGTAATAGTAATACTAGTAGTAATAGTAATACTAGTAGTAATAGTAATACTAGTAATAATAGTAATACTAGTAATAATAGTAATACTAGTAATAGTAATACTAGTAATAGTAATACTAGTAATAATAGTAATAGTAGTAATAGTAATAGTAGTAATAGTAGTACTAGTAGTAGTACTAGTAATAGTACTAGTACTAGTAGTACAAGTACTAGTAGTAGTACAAGTACTAGTAGTACTAGTAGTAGTACTAGTAGTACTAGTAGTAGTACTAGTAGTAGTACTAGTAGTAGTACTAGTACATGTACTAGTAGTAGTACTAGTAGTAGTAGTAGGAGGTAGTAAGAGTGGGAGGGGCCAGTCAAATACTAAGAGAGAGGAGCACTGCAAGGAAGCTCTTCATAATTCATTTTCCCGTCTTGGCTACCCTTCCCATTTCACAGACTCTGCCTTCTCATGTGCTAAACGTAATTTCTTCTCTCCCAAACTCTCTACTCCTGGGAACCCTTCTGTCCTCTGCCTTCCCTACATTTCCAGTCTTTCTAATCTTAACAACTCTCTCTGTTCCTTAGACATTAAACTTGCTTTCTGCCAGACTAACACTCTTTGCACTAATCACGTTCATACCTCTCCTCCCTCTACAGATGCTCCTGGTGTCTACTTTATTTCTTGTTCCTCCCGTCCTCTTCAATACTTTAGAGAAACTGGTCGATCTCTTTCTGACAGACTTGGGAAGCACAAAAATAGTGTTAGGCTTGCCGACACTAACAATGCTCTTTTCTGTCACGTCAGAGATCACAGCCATCCTAGTGACTGGTCTTCTTCTAAAACTGTCTTCCCTACTTCCAACTTTAACAGTCGTTGTCTGGTTGAATCCTCCCTAATACACAACTTTCCTTGTATGAATCTTAGTCCCGGCTTCTTCTCTGTAGATGCCTTCCTTTCCCACTACATTGTAAAATGCTCCAAACTTCAGAATGCTCATGACCTAGTCTGATTCCTCCTTTTTTCTTCTCCCTCTTCCCCTTTCCTTTTTCTCCTTTGGGTTGCCTTTCTGCTGCCCTGTGTATTTGTTCCTTCTTTTTTACTTATTTATTTGTATCCCCCCCTCCTCGGTGTTCTTGCTCTGACCCTCTGTGGGCACCAGCTCCCTTGCAGTGCTCCTCTTTCTTAGTATTTGACTGGCCCCTCCTACTCTTACTATCTCCCCACTACTACTTCCTTCCACCTTCACTACTTCCACTACTACTACTACTACTACTACCTCCTCCTGCCAATATATACCCATCCTGCTCTCCTTCTCATTAGTGTGACTTTGTAAATGGTCCAAGTCTGACCGAAACATCGTCGTAAGCTCCTCTCTTCTATGTGCAGGTTATTTGTAAACCATGCCTATTTTTCTTCTTTGCAGTTCTAGTATCACACTCATTCCTCTTGGGTGCCACTGTTACTATCCAGAGACAAGATGGAGTGAAAAGATGAAAAGTCTTTTCAGTAATACAGGTGGAGTGTAGTAATGGACATGTATGAACAAAACAAAGTGAGAGGTTGCATATATTACACAGGCTTCCCCTGTAAGACAATAAACTCACCCTGAGGCTCACTGTGAGGTGGAGGGGAAAGATCATGGATCGTGTCTCGTTTCCCCTACATGTACTCCACCATGAAAACAGACTTATGCAGTGTACACCGAAAATATGCCACAATTCTACAATCATGTTGGAGTGAAAAAGTGTTAACATATCACATGTTATCTGATGGCCTACTGTATTAACTTTGCCTACCATATACTACAATAGTGGAAAGATTATTCAAGCCACATACTCATTCAAGACATGAGCAAAATTATAATTTTGTGTCATACGAGACCTTTCTTTCCATTAACCCTTAACCCTTTCAGGGTCGGCAGGCCCTCTCCTAAACTTGCTCTCAGGGTCAAAAATTTTTCAAAAAAAAAAAGAAAAAAAAATTATTTTTTCTTATGAAATGATAGAGAATCTTTTCCCAATCATAATGACACCAAAAGTATGAAATTTGATGGAAAAGTTACAGAATTATGCTCTCGCAAAGTTAGCGGTCTCTATGATGTTTACGCATCGGCGATTTCGCCCACTTTGAGCCCTATTATCAGTCAATTCCAATGTACCAGTCGACACAAATAATACTTATTTCGCTAAAACTCCATTTTGTCTATTGAAGGAGTATAAGAAACCACCCATTTACTGATTTCAACTAACCAATAACATGGTCAGAAAATGGCCATTTTGCCAATTTCACACAAATTTCAAAAGATGCCAATTTCCAAATAGTCCAGAATAAACAAGACAGACATTCCTGGGACTAAAATAACATTTCCTCTGTTGATTACTCACATCACCAGGCCTCTGCTACATTTCTTTTACTTTCCACTTTGAATTTTTATTCTCACAGAGAACAGAAGATTTATGTTATGCAGACTACTGCATTCGTGTAGAAATGGTATAAATAATATCAGCGCACTTGTGAAAGAATATTAGACTCACCAGTTGTTGTGTATTGGACACGTGGCACGATTTGTTTACCTCTGAACTTTGGCAAAAAATCGAACATTTCTGCTACTTTGAGCTTAATTTCAAGGTACTTTTCATTGTGAAACCAATTAAAATCATCTCAATTTCCATAATATGTCTTCCATTCTATAAAATGAGACCAGGAAAACTAGAATACAACCATAAATAGTATACGAAAATAAACTGTAAAGTCGCTGTTTTAAACCAAAAACATGGTCGGAGTTTTTTTTCTCATTATGCACCGAGTGCTGCAGGATTTTTTTATACTGTGCACACTGACCACATAGATCCATTCTTTCATATGTAGGCCTACCAGCTTTCTCTCGCTAGATTTGAAGGCGCTAGAATTTATGTGTACTAGTACAGCACCAACCCTGGTGTGCAAGCTGTACTAGTACGGCACCAACCCTGAAAGGGTTAAACTGTCCAAACGTAGATCTACGTTCACACATGTAGCACTCTGAATGTAGATCTACGTTCGATTTTACATTATGTAAAAAAAAAAAACCATAGATCTACGTTCAGAGCACTACGCGTGCAAACGTAGATCTACATTTGGACAGTTTAAGCCTTTAAGGGTTTAATAGCAGCTAGCCAACTAATGCCAATCAAAATTATACATAGACCATTTGAGAAAAACTTACCAGATTTTACTTAATTCATTTACAGGCAGTTTTGACTTTTCAAAAAATTCTTTGGCAGCCGTTCCAGACAACAGTGCAGTGAGATCACTCTGCATGGAACAGAACTGTTCGGTATAATACTGACGTTGTTCATCATTAATTGTCCACACATCATAGTCTTCTTCCCCCGATGAATGGCACTCTGAGGAATCTTCTTCTGTGCCTAGTAACTGCCGGTGCTCATCATTAACTACCGAAAGAGTGATTCATGTTAAATAAGCTAAATGTATTATTTAATAAATTTGCAACACTGATTTAAGAATTCACCAAAAACTCACAATTCCTGGTTTTGGAGACTTGTTCCTGTAATGGTATTGTAACTATATTCTTCATGTAAGAACTCATAGTTAAATATGATAAGGAACTCAGATGAGACATAATAATGCATGCGTGAAAGGCAGAAAATGAAGGAAAGATATTGATAAAGAAATATGGGTAGTGATGGCAGTGGTAAAGAAAAGTCGGTTAGAACCATTTGATTATTCAGTGCTGAAACATTCCACTTTTAACATTAACAAGATTACACTATCAATATCAACTTGCTACTGAGGTGGCCAATTCTCTCATACTACATAAATCGTAATCACAACATACAGTGGACCCCCGCATAGCGATATTAATCCGTGCAAGAGAGCTCATTGTTATGCGAAATTATCGTCATGCGAATGAATTTTCCCAATAAGAAATAATGGAAATCAAATTAATCCGTGCAAGACACCCCAAAGTATGAAAAAAAAAAAATTTTACCACATGAAATATTAATTTCAATACACACAAACTGAAAAAGGCATGCACAATTACATGACACTTACTTTTATTGAAGATTTGGTGATGATTGATGGGATGGGAGGAGGAGAGAGTGTTAGTGTTTAGAAGGGGAATCCCCTTCCATTAAGACTTGAGGTGTCAAGTCCTTTTCTGGGGTTACTTCCCTTCTTCTTTTAAAGCCACTAGGACCAGCTTCAGAGTCACTGGAGTTCTGTCGCACAACATATCTGTCCATAGTGGCCTGTACCTCTCGTTCCTTTATGACTTCCCTAAAGTGTTTCACAACATTGTCAGTGTGATAGTCACCAGCACGGCTTGCAATAGTTGAGTGAGGGTGATTTTCATCCATGAAGGTTTGCACTTCAAGCCACTTTGCACAGATTTCCTTAATCTTTGTAGCAGGCAATTTCTTCAATTCTCTCTCCCTCCTTCGAACCAGTTTCCTCAGGTCTGGCCTCTTGCTGTTGAAGTTGATCTATCAGCTCATCAGTGGTTAGTTCTTCATTGTCCTCCTCCACCAACTCTTCCACATCATCCCCACTAACCTCCAACCCAAGGACTTTCCCAATGCCATAATGGATTCCTCAACTGGCATAGGATTCTCAGGGTTAGCCTCAAACCCTTCAAAATCCCTTTGGTCTACACATTCTGGCCACAGTTTCTTCCAAGCAGAGTTCAAGGTCCTCTTAGTTACTCCCTCCCAAGCCTTACCTATAGGTTTATACAATTGAGGATATTAAAGTGATCTCTCCAAAAGTCTCTTAGAGTCAGTTGAGTTTCTGAGGTCACTACAAAGCACCTTTCAAACAGAGCTTTTGTGTACACTTTTTTGAAGTTTGCAATAACCTGCTGGTCCATGGGCTGCAGGAGAGGAGTGGTATTAGGAGGCAAAAACTTCACCTTAATGAATTTCATGTCCCCATAAAGTCGCTCTGCCACGTCTGTAGGATGACCAGGGGCATTGTCTAACACCAGGAGGCACTTAAGTTCTAATTTCTTTTCAGTTAGGTAATCTTTCACATTGGGGGCAAATGCATGGTGTAACCAGTCATAGAAAAAGTCCCTAGTGACCCATGCCTTACTGTTTGCCTCCACAGCACACACAAATTTTCCTTGAGGACATTCTTTTGCCTGAATGGTCTGGGAGTTTCAGAGTGATACACTAATAAAGGCTTCACTTTGCAATCACCAGTAGCATTGGAACACATCAACAGAGTAAGCCTGTCTTTCATAGGCTTATGTCCTGGGAGTGCCTTTTCCTCCTGAGTAATGTAGGTCCTGCTTGGCATTTTTCTTCCAAAACAGGCCTGTTTCATCACAATTAAACACTTGTTCAGGTTTCAGTCCTTCAGTTTCTATGTACTCCTTGAATTCCTGCACATATTTTTCAGCTGCTTTGTGGTCCGAACTGGCAGCCTCACCATGCCTTATCCACTATGTATGCCACTACGCCTCTTAAATCTCTCAAACCAACCTTTGCTGGCCTTAAATTCACTACATCATCACTAGTTGCAGGCATTTTTTTAATTAAATCCTCATGCAACTTCCTAGCCTTTTCACTTATGATCACTTGAGAGATGCTATCTCCTGCTATCTGTTTCTCATTTATCCACACCAATAACAGTCTCTCAACATCTTCCATCACTTGCGATCTCTGTTTCGAAAACACAGTTAAACCTTTGGCAAGAACAGCTTCCTTGATTGCCTTTTTGTTGCCCACAATAGTAGCGATGTTTGATTGGGGTTTACTATACAACCTGGCCAGCTCGGAGACACGCACTCCACTTTCATACTTAGCAATGATCTCTTTCTTCATCTCTATAGTAATTCTCACCCTTATTCCTGTAGGGTTGGCACTAGAAGCTTTCTTGGGGCCCATGGTCACTTATTTTGCAGATAAAATCACCAGAAACACTGTAATAATACGAAATGTTCCGATTGTATGCTTGGATGTTACCGCGGAGGCTGGCTGGTAAACAATGCCACCGGCGGAACATGTGAGGCTGGCTAAGGGTGCACATTAGACGCGTCTCGGACGAACAGCGTTGAGCGGGTTTTTTAGCGGTATGCGAGGCAAAATCTTGGCGATAAAATGTAGCGGTATGCGGATTTAACGTTATGTGATGCCAACGGTATGCGGGGGTCCACTGTACATCATAATCATGAAGTAGAGCTATTTAAAGTATTTTCACATTCTGCAATTCATACCCATAATTTTTTTCATGTCATCAGCCATTAAGTGTTAGAAAATTTAGACAAAGGTGGAATTTCTCTGCCATTGATGCTGAAAGTGATGCTTGGTTTTTCAGTCAGGTAAGCATCCGGTTGGGATTGTGTTGCCTTGCCAGAGACCCACACGAGTTCCCACCACTGTATTAGGGTGACCCACCATCAGGGATTGAGGTTGAAGCAGTAATAATATATCTGATAATATTTATGTATTAGATCTTTCATTCTATGATACAAGACCAAGAAAACGACAATACTACCACAAATACTATACGAAGATACACCGCAAAGTCAGTGTTCTTTTCTTCTCGTTATACACTGCATGCTGCAAGAATTTTTTTTATACTGCACACACTGAGCACACAGACCTATTTTCTCACATGTAGGTCTACCAGCTTTTTCCCACCAGATTTGAAGGTGCTAGAATTTTGGCATAGTATTACGGGACCAACACTGGCTTGCAAGCCATAACATTATGGAACCGACAGTGAAAGGGTTAATGGACTACTAGAGGGAGAGCAGGTGGTTGATAACCAACTCTGGTAGATAGAACTGAAATTGTTTTGCAGTGATTGTAACAATGGACAATTCTGTTCAATGTTTCTGAATCAAGTGACCCAGCAGACTGTGTCCCATATTTTTAAAGTCAGTTAAATCAAGGTTTGTAAAATCAAGGGGTTACTGTATGTCCAGAGATGTCAAAAATAAAATTAAGACACTATCTAATATTATGCATAAAAATATAGATGGCCATACTGACTTAGGCCATGCCAGTGTGTGTGAGCTTGTCCCCAAGTTTTCTCATGGACACTGTTGGTGGGCGTTGGGGAATCTGATGCAGGAGACGATACCGACGTAGAATGAGATATCATTCGTCCCGAAGGATCACTCATTCTTTCATCGGCTCCTTCACCATCTTCACTCTCCATCATGCGATATCCACCATCTACCATCTATGTGGAAAAAATTACAGGGTCTTAAGTACATATTATAGTGTATACAATGTTCAAATTATTTTTACAACATGCCTCAATTTTTTAACACACCAACTCCCCCACTGAGGCAAAAAAAAAAATATTATTCACTGTTACTGACTTGCCAGGAGTATGCTAACATAGTTCAGATGATCCTCCAAACTGCAACATCCTTACCACTTCTTTAGAATGCAGGCACTACTTCCCACCTCCATGACTCAGGTCTGGCTAACTGGTTTCCCTGAATCCCTTCATAAATGTCATCTCTTGAGCTATCATGCTAATATTGTTATCCCTACTGATGGTATAAATACCTAACACTAAGTAACAAAAAGAAACATACACTTCTCAATATAAAAAAAATATGTATGTATTCTAATTCTCACATACTAATAATCGTAATTTAGTTTTAAGGCTGCCCAAAATGTCTTGCATAATATGGGGCAATGAAACCTGTGACCACTTAAGGAATAACGGGGGTCACAACTCCAGGAGGACCAATGCTGGTGCCTGACCTGTGATGTGTTGCAGTCAGAATCGCTTAGCTGGATCAGGTCCGGACTAGAGGTGCAGTTCTCCTTTGTAGTGTAGGCCACATTGTTTTCTGAAAAGGGAATGAAGATGCTTAAACACTGCTAGTTAAAGTATGGCATTCCAACAAGTGGTAAAAAGACACAGCAAAAGATTATTATTATTATTATTATTATTATTATTATTATTATTATTATTATTATTATTATTATTATTATTATTATTATTATTATTATTATTATTATTAACACATCGGCCAGTTCCCACCAAGGCAAAGTGGCCCGAAAAAGAAAAACTTTCATCATTCACTCCATCACTGTCTTGCCAGAGGGGTGTTATACACTACAGTTTATAAAACTGCAACATTAACACCCCTCCTTCAGAGTGCAGAACCACTACTTCCCATCTCCAGGACTCAAGTCTGGCCTGCCGGTTTCCCTGAATCCCTTCATAAATGTTACTTTGCTCACACTCCAACAGCACGTCAAATATTAAAAACTGTCTCCATTCACTCCTATCAAATGCACTCACGCACACTTGCTGGAAGTCCAAGCCCTTCACACACACAACCTCCTTTACCCCCTCCCTCCAACCTTTCCTTGGCTGACCCCTATCCCGCCTTCCCTCCACTACAGATTTATACACTCTCAAATTCATTCTATTTTGTTCCATTCTCCTTACATGTCCAAACCACCTCAACAACCCCTCCTCAGCCCTAAAGCATCATACTATAGGTAACAGTACTAACAAAGGTCTCCTTTTTGCTCTGTATGTCTGGTTCAATACTGGTGAGTTTACCTCAGTTTTACCTGAACTACACGACTCCAAAATTGGTGGATGAATTTGGTAGGGTATGTAAAAGAAGAAAATTAAAAGTGAATACAGGAAAGAGTAAGGTTATGAGGATAACAAAAAGATTAGGTGATGAAAGATTGGATATCAGATTGGAGGGAGAGAGTATGGAGGAGGTGAATGTATTCAGATATTTGGGAGTGGACGTGTCAGCAGATGGATCTATGAAAGATGAAGTGAATCATAGAATGGATGAGGGGAAAAGGGTGAGCGGTGCACTTAGGAGTCTGTGGAGACAAAGAACTTTGTCCTTGGAGGCAAAGAGGGGAATGTATGAGAGTATAGTTTTACCAATGCTCTTATATGGGTGTGAAGCATGGGTGATGAATGTTGCAGCAAGGAGAAGGCCGGAGGCAGTTGAGATGTCATGTCTGAGGGCAATGTGTGGTGTGAATATAATGCAGAGAATTCGTAGTTTGGAAGTTAGGAGGCGGTGCGGGATTGCCAAAACTGTTGTCCAGAGGGCTGAGGAAGGGTTGTTGAGGTGGTTCAGACATGTAGAGAGAATGGAGCGAAACAGAATGACTTCAAGAGTGTATCAGTCTTTAGTGGAAGGAAGGCAGGGTAGGGGTCGGCCTAGGAAAGGTTGGAGGGAGGGGGTAAAGGAGGTTTTGTGTGCGAGGGGCTTGGACTTCCAGCGGGCATGTGTGAGCGTGTTTGATAGGAGTGAATGGAGACAAATAGTTTTTAATACTTGACGTGCTGTTGGAGTGTGAGCAAAGTAACATTTATGAAGGGATTCAGGGAAACCGGCATGCCGGACCTGAATCCTGGAGATGGAAAGTACAGTGCCTACACTCTGGAGGGAGGGGTGTTAATGTTGCAGTTTAAAAACTGAAGTGTAAAACACCCTTCTGGCAGGACAGTGATGGAGTAAATGATGGTGAAAGTTTTTCTTTTTCGGGCCACCCTGCCTTGGTGGGAATCAGCCAGTGTGTTAATAATAATAATCACACAAATTAACCCTATGTCTACAGAGATAAAACAGGTGTGACTAAATCAATAAAACTTACACAGTGACTGCAACAATTCACAGCTACTCCACAATTTGTAGAAAAAAGTATTGCAATTAACTATACTGGGATTATGTTTTAAACAAGGATGTATTTGATGAAGATTACTTGGTGATGAATGGAGTGGGAGAAAGAAAGAAAGAAAGGGGGGGGGGGGGGGTAAAGAAGCGGAGGGAAGAGAAAATAAGAAAAATACAGAGAAAGAGGAGGGGGTGAAAGAGGCCTATTTTTGGCCAATTCCCACGTACCAGTCAACAAAAATCGTAACTATTTTGCTAGAACTCCACTTTTTCTATCAAATGAGTACAAGAAACTACCATTTACTGATTCCAACTATCCAATAAAGTGGTCAGAAATTGGCAATTTTGCCAATTTCACACAAATTTCAGAAGATGCCAGTTTCCAAATAGGGTTCAGAATAAACAACAGACATTCTTAGCACTAAATTAACATTTTCTCTAAATTAGTCATGTCCCCAGGCCCCTCTTACATTTCTTTTGCTTTCCACTTTAAATTTTTATTCTTACAAAAAAAAAAAAGTAGAAGATTTACTGTTATGCAGACTACTGCATTAGTGTAGAAATGGTATAAATAATATCAGCGCACTTGTGAAAGATCAGACTCACCAGTTGACGTGTATTGGATGCATGGCATGATTTGTTTACTTTTGAAGTTTGGCAAAAATCGAACATTTCTGCTACTTTGAGCTCAATTTCAAGGTACTTATCATTGTGAAACCAATCAAAATCATCTCAATTTCTGTAATATGTCTTCCATTCTATAAAATGAGACCAGGAAAACTAGAATACAACCATAAATACCATACGAAAATACACTGCAAACATCGCTGTTTTAAACCAAAAACACAAGTCAGATTTTTTTTTCTCATTATGCACTGTGTGCTGCAGGATTTTTTTTATACTGTGCACAATGACCACAGAGGCCCATTCTTTCACATGTAGGCTACCAGCTTTCTCTCACTAGATTTGAAGGCGCTAGAATTTACGTGTACTATTACAGCACCAACCCTGAAAGGGTTAAAGGCAAGCTCTCTGGAATGGATTAATGCCATTAACCAAGGGTCCACTGTACATGTACATATACTTGTAGTAAATATTTTTTTTTTCTCTCTCTCAGTTGTTTGTTGAGCTATCTTACTGAAATTTGGGCAATGTGTGATGGAAAGATGCTTCTTAACGTACAACAAAAATGAAAGAAATCAGACCATAAATAACAGAGTTCACTTCTCAGCCACTAGCCGCCCCTTAGCGGTATATTTTTGTATGGTTTTTATTTACCTGGAGTTTACCTGGAGAGTGTTCCGGGGGTTATGATTGCATTCTCGTTTTTTTGGGTCTCATTTGATAGAATGGAAGAGATATTACAGAAATAGATATGATTTTGATTGCTTTCACGTCGAAAAGTACCTTGAAATTGAGCTCAAAGTAGCAGAAATGTTCGATTCTTTAGCGATGTTCAAGAGTAAACAAATGATGTCACTGTCTAATACATGTGTGCCTGATAAACCACATTCCAATACATAGTCAAGAGTGGGTTGACACTGTTTATACAATTACAATAATGCAGTAGTCTGCATAACAGTAAATCTTCTATTTTTTGTGTGAATAAAAATTCAAAATGGTAAGCAAGAGTAATGTAACAGGAGCCTGAAGCCATGACTAATGAACAGAGAAAATGCTATTTTAGTGCCAGGAATGTGTGCATTGTTTATTCTGGACCCTATTTTGAAATTGGCATCTGCTGAAATTTGTGTGAAATTGTCCAAATTGACAATTTCTGACCACTTTATTGGGCAATGTATGATGGAAAGATGCTTCCTAGCATACACCAAAAATTATTAAAAAAAAAAAAAGACGATAAATAAAGGAGTTCACTTCTCAGCCATTAGCCGCCTCTTTGCGGTACATTTTCATATGGGTTTTATGGTTTTATTCTCGTTTTTTTTTTGGTCTCACTTGATAGAACGGAAGATATATTACAGAAATAGACATGATTTTGATTGGTTTCACGACAAAAAGTACCTTGAAATTGAGCTTAAAGGAGTGGAAATGTTCGATTTTTGCCAATGTTCTATGAACTTTCTTGTGTAAGTCAAGTTACTTAATTTTATTAAGTGTATTCTAACCTAACCACTCTGTAATCCGGCAAACTTAGTAATCCGGCACACTATAGGTCCCAATGATGCCGGATTTGTGATGGTGGACCTGTATTCATTTTCAGCCCCTGAAAAACCATAAAAGCAAAATATATTTTTTCTCTGATGCAAAATGTTTGTTTTTCTTTTAAATTTGCAGACTAGTGTAAGTGGAAAAGAGGAAATATAATAGCATGCAAGTTCATAAAATATTTAAAAATAAAGAAGTTTTTAGTATCTTAACTGGTATAGTAAGATGCCACACACACAAAGAAAAAAATTAAACAGAAGGGATACTGAGAATTTTTATTAATGGTGTGGTAGATGAATGGAATAAATTTCAAGTAGCAGCAAGTAATACAACTAATGAAATTTAAAACAACTTTGCGTGAAATGTTGCAGTAAAAGGATACTCTGTAACCAGTATTTCCACCTCTTCACCTGACCTGCCGTTTGGCTTTCTCACCTTTTCTATCTTGCTCACAACTTGATAATGGTCTATAGCACACCAAAACAGGTCTAAATTATCCTCCCCAAATTGTGGATCAGTTGCAGAAAACTATTACAGATCAGCCATCACTAATCTGGCATCACTGGGACCTGTAGTGTGCCGGATTAGTGAGTTTGCTGGATTATAGAGTGGTTAGGTTAAAATACACTTAATTAACCTATCAACAAAGACTCTTTCTGCTACATCTTCCTCATTTTCATCATTGCTCTCTCCTCCAATGGCTTGCTGCTGAGGATTTACAACCATCTTCACAATTTCTGAGTCAGTATAATGATGAAATATGAAATTATGCTAGCTGAAATTAGTGCCGGATTCCTGATGGAACTGGATAACTGACTGCCGACCTGTATTACATTCAGGGCAAGTACTAAAACCGTAAAAGTCTAACAATGATTGGGGAATGGGAAACAAAGAGGAAGGGGAGGACAAATCCAATTCCTAAGATCAAGAGCTACTCACTAGAATCAAAAAGCCCCCCTTGATGAGACTTGTGGAATAACTATGCTAATAATATAGACCTAGGGGAGATAGCCATAAGTTAT